CTCTCTCCCCCTGAGCCTGAGATCAGTGGACTCAGTGGACTCCTTCAAAAAGCAGCTGAAGACTCACTTGTTCAAGCTGGATTTTGCATGACCTTCTTCACCACTCTCTTTATTCTGCTCCCCCCACCTATTCCACCTTCCTCAGGATCCACTGATTTCCCTCTTTCCTATTCACTGTCTCTCTCTTTACATTTTTTAATCAAAAGTGTCTATTTTTTGCTCGTTTTAAGTATATTTTAACCATTTTCTAAATTCTTTTTTATGTTTTTACGTTTTTTGTGAAGCGCCACGTGATTTTTATCTTGAGAGGTGCTATAGAAAAGATCTTTTCTTCTTCTTTCTTCTTCTTCTTCTTCTTCTTCTTCATTCCGCCTTTATTCTTTTTCATTAAAAAACAAAATTCATCCAACACAGCTACTTCAAATTTGACCAACATGAACATTTCAGAAAATGACAAAATTTTGAACAGTTCTCTCAGTTATGGTTTCAAATTTTATTGTTTTAGAATTTATCATTTTTAATTTTCCTGTTGCCGTTTCAACAGAAATATTCACAAAAAGATTGGATTTTATAGTTTTTTGGGGGTGGGGGGTAGGGATGAACTTCTGTTACACACACATATGTGTGAAAAACGGTAAGTCACTAAATAGATTATTTATTGAAAATGTATTAAAATCGTTTATTAGCTTAGACATTTATGTCTTGATTAACAGAGATTCATTTTTGGGTTTATTTAAACATGAATGTCATTTATTAAGGCAGCAAATTTTCCTGGGGTAGCCTCAGGGTGGCCATGGCCCCCCTGGCCATCTTTTTGGGGCACTACTGGATGTCAGACTAAAGTATGAGTTTGATGTGGCACAGAGTCCCTCTCTCACTCACTCACTCACTCACTCACTCACTCACTCACACACACACACACACACACACACACACACACACACACACACACACACACACACACACACACACACACACACACACACACACACACACACACACACACACACACACACACACACACACGCACACACACACACACATGCTTCGCATGGGCTCTAAAAAGTATTCTCAGAAATGAAACGACAAATGCTGTAGGTTGATGGTAGCGTTTGATTAGGAGCTTGTTTGTTTTTCTTACCTCTGATACATCCTGTGACCTCTGCAGACCTCCTGTTACTTCCTGGTGCTTTTTAAAATCTTCCTGTTTATTTATGATCCTTCAGTTTAGCAGATAATGATAATGCAAATGTTATCTTTGTCATCACTGAAGCATGTAGGTATGTTTTATATGTGGAAAACCTAAAAATTTCAGGTACTAGTAAGTTTTCTGTCTGTATGAAAACAAATAAAGCAGTCATTTTCTCATGATGCTGCTGTTAGCTGAGGTTGCTGCTTGTCAGCAGGTTTTCAGGACTCAGACACCTAATTGGGATCAGTGAGACAAGGTGCATGAGTCCACCAGGAGCTCAAGATAATAGCTGGAGCCCACGTGATGCTCCTCTGAGGTTTTATCTCTCTCTGCAAAGAATCATAACATCAGCTCAGGATAACTTTCACCTGATGCTCCAACAACCTTTTCTTTCAGTTGACGTAAACAGTGATGTTTCTGAAAGTTTCACTGCTGCTTCCTGCTTTCCTTCACTTGGTGCCAAATAATTAACCTCCAGCCCTCTCAGCTGTGCATGGAGCCTCGTACACAACTTGATGCTTGTCCAACAGGGAAAAAAAACAAATGGAAGAGAAACACGTGACCTTCTTGACCTTTTTCTTTGTCTCCAAACAGCCAGCTGATAATGACTTCACCCATTTTTCCTGACACACGCATAATAATACAAAACAGCTGGATATGCCTGGATAATGGAAACATTTTCCTTGTTGTCACAAAGAAAGCTACAATTTTACAAAGATCACCAAATTTTATTCAGATGCTTGTGAGTCCAAGGAGTCACTCTGATTCATTCTTGCACACAATGCTTCAACCAGTCCCCACACCTTCCTGCACCAAAGAGAAAGCTAGAACCTAATAGCTTCAGGACAGCATGAAATTGACCATGGTGTTTGTGGATTTTACTCATCGTTGGTCAAACCTTGATGCTGCCATAGCTCTCGGGCCTGTCCTTTCAACAGTCTGGCTCTGCTGTAGAATCAAACTGTAGCTGAGAGAGTTGAGTGAAAGTATAAGTGATGGATCCCTGCCCACACAAACCCTGTCTGCCCTAAAGATGAAGTGTGAAAAGTGTTCACTGACACAGTGTTTTCTTAGATTTAGGTGGTGGGGCAGTGAGAAATCAGGTTGCATCTTCCTGGATGTGTGTTTCTGTGGAACAAATATCTTTAAGAGAAGCTACGGGTGTTTTTCTCATCATACACTCTCTAAGTCAGTACGTTTTATCATAAATTTCAACACATTTCATTTTAAAAATAAATATTTAGATGGAAATGGAAATCCATCCATTTTCTGAACCCGCTTGTCCATGTAGGATCGCGCCTATCTCCAGTGGTCAATGGGCAATCAGGTAGGGTACACCCAAGACAGACAGCCAGTCCATCGCAGGGCAACACAGAGACACGCAGGACAAACAATCTTGCACACACACACACACACACACACACGGACAATTTAGACAGACCAATTAACCTAACAGTCATGTTTTTGGACTGTGGGAGGAAGCCAGAGTACCCGGAGAGAACCCACGCATGCACAGGGAGAACATGCAAACTCCATGCAGAAAGACCCCAGGCTGAGAAGCGAACCCAGGACCTTCTTGCTGCAAGGCAACAGCTCTAACCACTGTGCCACTGCACAGCCCGGAAATGGAAATATCCATCATTAAAGTGACAGTGTGTATTTTTCCTGGTAATAGGGGAACAGTAGATACCTAAACTGTTGTAAGCAAGCAGTATTTTTGTGTTGGAGTAAGACCTTACCAATGGATGCCCATTAGGGTCAAAAAACCTTGGGGAGTGCAAACTTTAGCAAAACAACAAGCACATCAGACTCCTTTTCATCACTGGCAACAAGTGAAGAAGTAGATGTGTAAAACAACAACATTTATGAATGATGAAATGTTGTCTTCTCGATCCCCAGTGAGTCGTGGGCGGATGGCTGCTTATACTGAGCCAGGATCCTCTGGAGGTTTCTTCCTGTTGAAAGGGAGTTTTCCTCTCCACTGTGGCTAAATGCTTGCTTAGTATGAGGATTGCTGTAAAGTCACTGACACTAGTCAGTGACTTGATGCAATTTTCTGGGTTCCTTATATAGGAAACTTTTTACTGATTGGCTTAATAAACTGACCTGAATTGGAATGTTTATTATGTGAGGTGCCTTGAGATGACTCTAGTCGTGATTTGGCGCTATGTAGATAAACTTGAATTGAATTAAATTGAAATGTTACAAATCAGGAAATGCATTTTGTCCTCATGGACTCCCGTAGAAGGAAACATGGCATTTAATATGGCGTCACCCAGAGACTTAGACCCACTCCCATGTCTATTTTAGACCTGTTTTTTATGGTTATATGTTACGAAGCCGCCACTATTTTTCAACAACTGGGTATTATTTCATTCATTTTCAGCAAGATTTTGATGGATATTTCCATAAATTAATGGTAAAAACTACACATTGTCTCTGTTTAAATGTATATAAATATGGGGTCCCATTCGTAAAGGTACACAGTCAAAATTTTACAGCAATTTTTTGGGTTATTTAGTTTGTTGCAAGAGAAAAAGAAATGGGTGTTCATTTAAAGTAATATTTTCACTATTTCAATCATACGTTCATAAATGCCACAGTTCGAAACTAAGTATTCAGTTAGCAAGCACAATAATTTATTTGGATCTAAATATGTATTTTACAAACAAAACATTTAGCTCCAAACTTAATATTTTGTTCACAACTAAATATTAAGCTCCTGGGTAATTATTTAGTTTACAAAATAAAAATCTAGCTCCAAATCAAATTTTTTGTTTTTTACAAAACAAATAGCTAGCGCCTGATCAAATATTTGGTTTTTCCAAGATAATCATAGCGCCATGAATAAAACATTTAGTTTAGAACTGTGACATTTATGAATATATAATGACATTGTGAAAATACATCTATTATTTTCTTTTGTGATAACCCAAAATATTGATGTGAAATTTTGATTGTTGAACTTTACAAGCAGCACCCCATACATAAGCGCTAACATGAATTCTACCTGGCTGCCCTGACTTCCCCTGGGGGAGCTGAGGCAGAAGAGTGTTTCTGTAGCGGATGTACAGCCTCTGCTCTGGCAGCAGGCCCACTTTATGTCAGTGCTGGGATATTTTAATTCCTGGTGGTTTAGAAAACTAGCCTACAAATGTTTAAAACCACAAAGATTTTCTGTTTCCGACCCATCTGGTCCAGAGCCAAGCATCTGAATCATTTAAATGAGGAAGATGTTTAAAAGGAGGAAGGTAAATAAATCGTACCAGAGTTCTGAGTGAATAAAATAGTTTCTTCTCACAAACATGAACTCATTATGCAGAGGCCACGTTTCTTATCTCTATGACATCACAGCGAAAACCTTTTAGAAGCAAACATGAGCACGTTTGTCTCGTTCTGTCTTTTACTTTTCATGTCTTTAATGTTGTAGGCTACTCAAAAGTTACGATTGGTGCTCAGAGTCGGGAATCTTTTTGCTGCAACGTGACAAAACTATCCAGTTGTTCTACTCTGGAGCCGCAGACCCTAACAGAATTCAAACAGATGGTGTGAAATCAGGATTACAACACAAGACTCATGAAAAAAATGAGCGGTTAGACGTGTTACAGTGAAGTATTCAGTTTAGTTTTGTGTGTTTCTTATTTCATCGGTCCTTCAGGTTGTGTAGAGTTTTATTAAAGGACTTGTTTCCTGTTCTGAAGTGTGGTTTGAAGCATACATGACTCCCTTAAATCTATACATTTAAAGTTTTGTCAAAATCTCAAAAGGAACAAAATCCTGGGACAATAAAGGAGACACACACCCCCTGTCTGTTGAATCAAAGTGGTTACTTTAATCATCTCCACTCTTGTGTCGTTACACGTCGTCTCTCTTCAGCCCAAAATCAAAGCTTTCCATCTTATCATTTACAGTCAAACGTTTCTTCCTGAATGTGTTTCCAGTTTTGTGCTGGACGCCGTTCGAGTGAGAAGCACAGAGAGGAGATTGCTTTTTACATTAGTGGTCCCACTCCACGGCAACAACATGTACTGGTTTAGATAAGCAGCACACAACACTGAAGGAGGAGAAAAACACAGAGCCAAACACCAAAAACCTACAAGTACATTTATTCTGCACACACACAGGATCGCATACACGCACACACACACACACACATGCACGCACGCGCACACACGCACACACACACACACGCGCGCGCGCACACGCACACACGCACACACACACACACACACACACACACACACACACACACACACACACACACACACACACACACACACACACACACACACACAGGCGCTCAGCTATTTTACCAAAAACAACCACACACACAAACACTTGAAACCAGCAGACACCAATGAAACATTACCAACTTTACAAGAATCAAAAAAATATCTGAAAATATACAATTATTATTTACAGCTGAAGTTTACACCCTGTCAGCCACTTTCTCACTAAATAGATAATCAGTGTGAATTTATCAGAATGTACATCAATATGTACAGATTAAATACATCCTCTTAAATACTATAAATATATCTGTTTGGTCACATAAAGACTATCTGCACGCTGAAATAAATCGACTTTGTGTCTGAACTCAGGTAAAATCTACAAGTTGTCTGGCGACACAGCAGAGACGGACGAGACGGGGAGACCCTGGAGTTGGAGTTTTTGTTTTTGGGACAAATAATTACAGGTAAGTAATAGCAGAGAGTTTCCAGAAGAGTTTAAAAATGATCAGGGAGATTTTTTAATTTGTCTTGGTTAAAATGAATCTTTTTGCAACATCAAAAAGATGTAGCACATTGAAATAAAGCTCCCAGGCTGTGATTGTGCTCCAGTTAAGCAGATGCTGCTTGAAAATGGTGGTGCCTTTTATTCTGCAGCTTTGTCAAAAGTGACCTCTTGGAACCTGATCCTTAAGTTTTCCTACGGTATCCCACAAAAACCAATAAATAACATGTCCCGTGTGCTGCTGGTTCTGTACTTTCCGAAAATGTGCTTTAATGCCACGCAAAAGCTGCTATTTGTGCACAAACACTTCACTATATGAGCCATCTGTGATTGGTGCTTCAGTCGTGTTTTTATAGGAAACATGTGAACATTTGATTTTCAAATTTGACTAATTGTGAAAAATATCTGATTAGTTTAGATATTTACTTAAAGTTAGTAATTAAAATATACTAGTTATTCTAATTTTTGTGCTTTTACAGTCAGTACACGTACTTAAATTGGCTGTAATGCTTATTTTTACCTGTGTGCTTATGGGGATGCTGGAAAACAACATGTCAGGGAAAATGATAAATTTTAGGGTTTTTTGTTTAATGGCCTCATAATAAAAACTGGGGCATAGTGCAACAAACTTAACAGAAAAGGAATGTACCAAAAATAATTGGTATAAAGAAAAAACCTAAATGCCTAAATCCACATGAGATAAAAATAAGTCACGTCATAATTTTAAGATTGTGATGATGATGATGATGATGATGATTATGTTTGTGAGCTTAAAAATCATAATCAAAACATGCAAAGTCACATTTGTTAGAGTCAAGGTCCTAATTATGTGTTATATGTTGATTAATTTGGAAGAATTAATTATGATTTACAACATTGTGCTTAAAATCAATCATTAGTGAATTATTTTTTTAATTCTACGTTTCTATGCCATCATATTTTTGTAAAGATTCATTATTAAGGTAGAAATTCACATTTATGAAAAAAAAGTTAAAATTATGAGTTAAAAAATTCATCACGTCAGAACTCTGCATGTAAAAGTCACAGTTTAGAGATTTAACGCAATGATGATGAATAATTAGGAAATTTTCCCCTTCCTAAAAGCAAACACGACCCTCCATTAAAACAGAATTTTCTCACAATGATAAGAAACTACAGATTTCCCTTTGTGCCTTTAGTGCACATCCACTTCTCTCCTCTTCATATAAATCAATAATTTCCCTTGTCTTAATTTGAAACAAATTTGTGCTTAACAAACAACTCCAGGGTCTGTACCTAATTAAAGTGCTCAAGTGACTGAGACAAAACTTTGCTTCAAATGCACACAAATGAAAATAATAAGCATAAAATGACAGAAACATAAGGCAAACAGATAACAGAGATGCTGTTCAGGCACCAAACAGTGGCTGACTGAGCTTCCTCCACTTCTGCCCAGTCTCAAGTACCGGTGCCTCTCAGGGAGGGGCCAAGAAGAAATCAGTGTCACTGCTGCCCGACAGCGACACCTAGTGGTTAAACCCATATACTACTGCTTACTCCAAACATTTAAATCACAGTACATTTTCACTGTCATACAAGAATATAAATAATGTAAGAAAAAGCTTTGTTTTCACACTTTGGATCACTAAAAGACATAAAAGTGTAGCTTGTAGTGCTGATGGCATGATGTGCTCACAATTAGAGGAATGTACAAATGTTAAACATCAAGAATTATGACTGATCCACAGCACAGCATGGCAGTGAACCACCTCTCAATACACCAAGACGAGACTGGTGAGGGATTCTGGCAGGAGCAGACAAAGCTAGGTGTCTGTTTCTACAGAGCATTGCCATGGTTTTCCCTGGGTTACACAGATCTATTTTTAAACAGACCAGGTCACAAGGAGGTCTCATTTAGCAGCAGACAACACACCGACATGCATGTGTGTGTGTGTGCAGTCTTGTTCTATCCAAAGCTCCTTTCTGCTCTGCATCTGCGATTCACACCCAGCCCTTCTAAGGCATTCATTAAAACAGGCTGATCAAAGTGATTGATTGACGTTAAAAAGCTCTGTCTTGGTCTGCTGGCAACAACTCCATGGCCCTTCTTACCAAACGGTTGTTTAAAATAAATGTTATTCTGTTTTAAGGCTCAGAGATGGTCTAAAACGGTCTGTGCTTCTGTGTCAGGTTAAGGTTGGAGTCAAAGCTGCTGCTCATCATTCTGCATGACTTAAAAGTGATGTCTGAGACTATTGCACTACTTATATATACAGGTTTCTAATGTACATCTGTGGGGGGATAGAGCTAGAAGGAGATCTGACATTCTGTGAGGACTTTGCAGCCACAGATTATTGCTGATGAGTGATAGGCACAGTAAAAGTATGGATCTGAAACGTCGACTACATACTGCTATGGATGCTTTTGTGATGCTTTACATGAGAGATGATCTCATACTGATCAGATATGTGTTTTTTGATTCTCCTTCCATTCTATTGCCACATTTAACAATCTTCTCAAATGAACCAGAAAAAACACACACTGGTAAACACACAGAGAACAACAGAACAGCACCAGACACTCATTAACCTCGGCCAGAGTTGAGTGTTTATCCTCCCTGCCTCTGCACAAGTGATGGAGCAGAGACAGGGCTAGATGACTTTATCTCTGGGGGTTAATGTGTGACTAATGCTGCAAGCCTCTTTACTTCCTCTCTTCAATGTGGGCGGAGCTTACTGGTTTCACAAGCTCAGCTGATCATAGCTCAGACTCGGGCGAGCCAATGTTCTGGTAGCCCGTCTTGGTGCTGGTGCCATAGTTGGTGTTGGTCATCTCTTGGGTGCCGCCGGGGCCCAGGTAAGCGCGGTGGGGGGGCATGGGGGAGGGAGCCTCGCTGGGGTTCTTGTTGAGGATGAAGCGCTGCTCGTCCTGCTCTTCCAGGTTGGAGATGTCCTTCATCATGCCTTTACGGTAGGAGACGGACAACTTGTTTGAGCCGTCTGAGATCAAGTTGAAGTGGCGGACGATGAAGATGATGGGTAAAGGCAGCATGGCAACCACGATAAGGGCGTAAGCCATGGCTAAAGCCCAGGGAGGGTAACTATGGAAACGCTCTGAGCCCTAAAAGGATTGTAAAAAAATATGAAGGAAACAAGAAAAAGAAAAGTAGAGGGAAAGAGAGACATTTGGTTGTAAATGCATGAATATTGATGGTTTGTGAAAATATCCCTTTTTGTATTTGGACATCTTAAAAACTGACCTCAGCTTCTACCCAGGCGTTGTATCCTGCAGGACTGATGGCCATCTCGATGACGGTAGCAGCAATTAGCACCACCAAGATGGCAGGCGACACATATTTCCACATGTAGAAGTAGAAAGCATACGGCCTGAAGCCAAGCATGTCTTCCAGATCTTGCATGAACCTTTAGGAAGGAATTAGAAGGAGAAAGAGTCAGGACAAAGCCACAAGATCTTTCCTGAACCACAAACATTTCTGTTGGAGGAAAGCTAAGCAACTGTAGATACATGGAAAGAAAACAGAAAGCTTTCCAAGTCCAGATCACCTCTTGGTGCCGTAGATCCAGGCCACAGAGATGTTCTCCAGGATCACCACCACTGTGAGAGGCAAACCGGCGGAGTAGTCATCAAACATGGTGACAAAGTAGTTCCCTGAACGCTGCACAAACAGCAAGCCCAACAGGAAGGCGATCACACAGCAAACCACTGATGGACAGAAGAGAACATCATCCAGTAAAAACTCTGATCTCAACACATGACTGACCCAGATTACCAAGAATCATAACCTACCACACAGGATCTCCTTGCGGACCTTGAAAGCGTCCAGAATGGGTGTGGTGATGCCGGTCATGGTTCCGATCATGCTCCCCAAGCCCAAGTTAATCAGCATGAAGAAGAACATGACGGACCAGAAGGGACTGGCGGGGAAGTGGGTCATGGCTTCTGTGAAGGCGATAAAGGCCAGGCCAGTGCCCTGTACCGCCTACAGGACGAAGACAGTCATCAGGTTAACTAATAATGGAGGACCTAAACTCATTAAAAGGACCGTAGAGTCTCAGTGCTTTCGCTGAAGTTCAACTATCCTTAGCAGAGCAATCAGAAAACATCAGATTATAAATGTTTCAAAGTTTGTTCCACAGACCTTGTTCAGTTCATCCTCCAGGGCACACGGGTCCAGACCCAACTGGGCAAAGTTGTCCTCCTTCACTGTTTGGATGACTCCATACATTTCTGAGTAATCTTGAGCTGACAGGTGGGAGAAGTTGATGTGAGGAGGAATCAGCTCTCTGCTCAGGACACCCGAATTCAGGTAACCCAGAATCTTCTCCGCATTCCTGGAAAAGTTTAAGAGACACGGAGAACAACGACAGTTGTTAAAATCAAATAAGAATGAAAATCTGGTAGACTTTGTTTCTGAAAAGCGTACTCACTCAACAACACACTTCTCGTTCATGACATTGGCTTTGAAGCCCAGCACGGCAAATACCACCAAGGTGGCCAAGATGGAGGTGACAAAGTTGATGATGGAAACCAGCGCTGCATCAAAGTGGCAGTTGTTGTCTCGTTTATTGTAGCTGGAGAAAGCGATGACGCCTCCGAAGCCCAGACCCAGGGCGAAGAAGACCTGCGTGGCTGCTTCTCTCCACACCTGTGGCTCCAGCATCTTCTCCAGCTGGTGAGAAAACAAGCAGAATAGAAGTGGAAACCAACATTGATATTTAATATGTTATTTTTAAATGTCTATCTGGGGTTGTGGTGGGTGTTTAGGGTGGGCCAGTGCCACCCTGACAGCAAGCTAGGAGCCCCCCTGCTAAGGGGCGAGCCTAAGCATTGATAAATGCTTTCAGTTTCATCAGTACTTATCTGAAGTAGTAAAACGGCACCGAGGCAAATACTTTCATATTGTCTCTGTGATGGAAAAGTGTTATCAACATAGTTTTTGCCTGTAAGGAGGCATGACTTTCAGACTGAATTCAAGTCTTTTCTTCATGTACGCATGAAGAATCGTTCTAAACTGCTTGTTTGGCTTTCATCCTGAAGAGAAAATACAGCAAAATGCTGTGACTGAGCTTCAGCATCACAGCAGAGAGAACGCTGTAATTCTGAGTGGGTGGTAGACACATACGCCACAAGAGGGAGACACTGACCTATTGCACAACACCACAGACAGCAGCTACATGTTATTGTGAATGAATGAGTCTCATTGATGAATACTGTAATTTTTTTAACTTCTATCTGAAAAAGGGACTTTTTTTATCCAAGGGAAGCAAGTATGGTTATTTTGTCTCATAGCATGTCCCTGAACTCCACTGGGCCAGCAGCTAAAATGTCCCCACGTTGCTCCTGACTTATTTTGATAAAACGCCTACTGCTGCCCTCTCACCTTGGGCGTGAACATGTGAGCGATGCCGTCCACGGCACCCTTCAGCAGCAGGCCTCGGACCAGGAAACAGAAGAGCACCACATACGGGAAGAGGGAACTGAAGTACATCACCTAAAAGAGACAGGGACAGTCAAGTGCATCAAACGGTGTTGCCATGGAAACGCTGAGACCTCACACATGGAGGCACAAGTGCAATCACACACACACACTCACGCACACACACGCACACGCACACGCACGCACGCACGCACGCACGCACGCACGCACGCACACACACACACACACACACACACACACACACACACACACACACACTCTGGATGAGTCCCAGCTCTACATTTGTGTTTGCTCAACACCAAATCTGTGAAATCCTGCAAATGCAGAAAAGAGTTCTGAAAAGGAAGAAAAAAACCTTTCAGAATACCAGAGAATGGTTTCAGCTTTGACTCCGATAGCTGGACTACATCAGGTTGTTTTAAAACTATGTCAGACTTTGACTCAGAGTGGAGTATTTTCCTGTTCCGTAAGGCTGGATGTTGAGCTGCATGACTCAGAGTTTGGACCAAGAATAAAAAGATGTTGAGATTCTCGCCTGAGTAAAAAAATAAATAAAAGCAAACCCATTGTAATAAAAATGAACTTGTCATCTGTTGTATAATTGCTTTATATAAGTTATTGATCACTACTGTTTGTCAATCACACTTATCATGAGGATGTAATCAAGGGTAATCATGGTAGAGCCGAACATAATGTGATCATGAGGATGTAATCAAGGTAATCATGGTAGAGGTGTGCAGCTTTGCACGCACATCAGGGAATGTATAAGGAGCAGAGCAGGGCTCAGGGGGGTTAGAGCTGCTTGGAGGATTCTACCTGACGAGGTTCATGGATTACATGTGTTCAGTTCTTCACCTATCATGGATTACGTTTTCTAACTGGGGTGTTCAGCTCTCCACCCATAAGCAACGGTAAGAAAAATGTTTCGTTCATGATTGATAACTTGTATGAATGCCGGTTGAATAAAGCCTTGTTGTTCATCTGATATTCAAGTTGTGTTTCATTGTTTCTGGCGTCGACTTGACAACGATCCTGACTAAATAAATATAAAGTGTAAAAAGAGACTTTGAGTCTTTTAAGGTAATTAAAATAAAATAAAACATTTTATTTTAGAACATTTTTGGCGTCACGAACAGGATCAGTCAAGCTATTCCAGCAACAATGAAGTGTTTTTGGAGAAGCAAAAAGGAGCCGAGAGCTTCTGGGGAGGGAACGCCGATTCCCGTGCCGATTCCCGGCTGGGAAACGGAGGAGTTCCGAACCATTGGTGATATGTTAAGGCAGCGCGGTGGACGCCCTGGGCCGTGGGGAGAGTTAAATGGAGTGGTCAGCCCCGCCGTGGTGCTGGACCGTTTGACGCGGATAGAAGTTAAAGAAAAAGCGCTGCTGGCAGGAGTGAGAGATATGATGTGGCTTTTTGCAGAAGCATGGAAAAAACAGGAGTTAGAATTGAGCAGTTGTAGAGAGCGAGCGGCGCAGGAGAAAATCCATGCTGAAGAAGTTGAAAAATCATGCTCAGAGTTTGAGCAGAGTGTGTGTGATGGGGAAAGAGCTAAAGCATGCTCAGAATGTTTTGGATAAAACGCTGACTTTTGTGTCTCGAGCGCAAAGGAAGGAAAAGAAGCGACCTCGTAGAACAGGTCCTGCTCAGATCCGGGCGTTTGTAAAGAATGTTGGTGAAGATTGGAACCCGGAGAAATGGAACGGGGATCTTTGGGGGGATGATGAGGAGGAGGAGTGGGCGATTAAACCTGACCCACCACCTCAGCCCTTGTATCCATCATTACAGGGGATAAAGATGTCAGAACAAAGACCTATTACTAGGCGTCGGCGAGAACAGCAAATTATTCCACCAATACTGGTAGATATGGTGGATGATCAGGGACGGCCGGAACTCGATGAGGCGGGTAATATAAGAAGGATGTTACAACAGCAGCCACAACCCGCCCCTAGGCTGCTAACAACGCTAGAGGATTATTCACAAGATGAGTTAAATCACATGAATGGGAAGCTGAAACAGCGCCCAGGCGAACCAACTGACTCCTGGCTTAATCGCCTTATGGAGGATGGCGCGTGTGATATAGCCATAGATGCCGGTGATGCCATGGGATTTTCAGGATTAAGTACTGATGCACAGATAAATGCTGAATACCGGGCTACAGTCCGGGCATTGCCAGCTGATGAAGATTTCAATGTGGGGGATGCATATGCTCTGGCATGTCATGTAATCTATCCTACCACGGCGGACTGGTCTGAGATTAAAGGGCAATGGCAGACAGTGAGAGATGCCATTCAGCGGCTCACCAGACTCACTATTAGAGAGCAAGTGGCTCGAAACGGAGGAGCTGGAGTGGTGGACTGTAACATCTCTAAGGCAACTAGAGATCACCTCATCAGACATGCCCCACCACATTATAAACCCATGGTGACCAGCTTGTTGTTTGGCGCGGCAGACCAGACTTTTGCCGCGATAAAAGATCGTCTTGGCGAACTCACCACGCTGGGTGATTGGTCTGAGACGAGGAGAGAGGGAGCTAGAACTGAAAATAAACCCAGGATTGATCCACATTCAAGGGGTCGTAAAGGGGGGGCAATGGGCCCCTCTAGAACAGATCTGTGGAGGGCACTGCGACAAGCGGGAGTGCCGTTTGAGGAGATTGATGGATTGCCCACTAATGCATTGATGGAGAAATGCAGCCAAATGGGACTGAAGGTCCATTGTCAGTTCAGACATTGTCCTGAAAAGGACGACAGGATGTCTGTGTCAGAATTGGTTGGAATGTTGCAGAATGTGATCAGGGAGGTGGCGTCGAAGCCTGCTGAACCTTCCGCCCCTCCCAAGGAATCTTCAGAGGAGGAGAGTTCAGATGAGTGTTATCAGGTGGCGGCAGTGAAGCGTAGAAAGAAAAAACAGCACCGAAGGGAACATGATGATGAATAGGATGAAGGTCAAGCTCAGGTTGTTGCCAGTGCCTCAGGATGGTCAATAAATGATATCAGACCACATGTGGAATTACAGATTTATTGGAAAAAATCAGTACAGACAGTAATGGCATTGGTTGACACTGGGGCGGAGGCCTCGGTAATTCATGGCAATCCTGATAAAATAAAGGGAAACATTGTAGAAAAAGGAGTATCAATGCTCCACGAGAAAGTGGCAGACGTTCCAGAAATGGATGAAGTGCCTTTTGAGGTAAAACCAATCCAGGATTCTCCTGTGAAACTGGGGGTAAGATGGAGCGAACTCACCCCAGAGCAGCAGGAGCGAGCCTGGTTCACTGATGGTTCCTGTCAATATGTGGCAGGAACCAGGAAATGGAAGGCTGGGGCATTTAACCCTGGTACACAACAAGTTATGGAACTCACAGGGACAGGAAAGAGTAGTCAATGGGCGGAGTTGAAAGCAGTACACATGGTAATAATGGCGGCTGGGGTGCAGGGAGTAAGTATTTATACTGACTCCTGGTCAGTAGCCCAAGGAATGTTAACTTGGATGCCAACTTGGCATGCTACACAATGGAAGATACATTCAAAAGAGGTTTGGGGAGCTGACCTATGGAAGGACATTTGGGAGAAATGCCAAAATATTCCTGTGTCAGTATTACATGTGGATGCTCATACTAATAACAATGATCCTGAATCCCTGCATAATCAGACTGTAGATAAGATAGTGAAAATTCAGGCTGTAAGACAATCAAGTCCTGGATTAGCCAAATGGGCTCACGTTACTGCTGGACATTGGGGTGTGCAGGGAACATTGAAATGGGCGAGGGACAGAGGAATAGATCTCATCATTGATGATATTAAAACTGCCATAGAAGATTGTGAACCTTGTCAACATCAGAAAAAGAGAATCCCTCGACATATACAGGGACAGATACATCGAGGTAAACAAGCGGGACAGTGTTGGCAGATTGATTTCATTGGACCATTGCCAAAAAGTAAAAACTGTAAGTATGCATGCACAGCCGTGGATACGGTGTCAGGGGTACTGGTGGTGCATCCGTGTCATAACGCCAATCAGGAGGCTACATTGAAATGTCTGTCATTAATAGAGACCTATTATGGACTACCTTTGCAGGTTCAGACTGATAATGGTACCCATTTCACTGGAAATAAGATCAAAGAATGGGCAGAGAACAACGCGGTAGAATGGATCTATCATGTAGCATATCACCCGAAAGCTAGTGGACTCATTGAGAGAATGAATGGGTTACTGAAAGAGAAACTAAGGAAACTATCGGTTACTAATTCTTTGGACAAATGGAGAGAAAATCTGACTAGGGCAGTACATCAGTTAAATAACAGACCCGTGGGGGATGGAGTTACTCCACTGATGCTAATGGTTGCCAGGGCAGGAAGGGAAACAACTTCTACTGACCCTCCTATACGAATGTGGAAACTAACTTCTGAGGCAGAACTCCCTGTTAGAGCAACTGCGGGCTCTGTGGGATTAGATCTTAAAATCTTGGAAAGCATCACTTTAGTAACCAATAAAGTGACAGTGGTAAAAACAGGATTGGGAATTCAATGTCCACCAGGAACTTATGCTCATGTGTGTCCAAGAAGTGGTTTAGCTTTGAGGGGTCTAACCATTTTAGCTGGGGTAATAGACTCAGACTATCAAGGGGAAATAGGTGTGGTGTGTCAGCATACAGGTAAAGAACCGTTGGTACTGGAAAAAGGAGACAAGATAGCTCAGTTAGTAATCAAACGGTGTGTAATGTCCAAAGTTGAAGAGATTACTAAACCTACCACTATCACTCAGAGGGGTGAAACTGGGTTTGGATCATCAGACTTTACTGCGGGGGCAAAAGTGTGGGTGGAGCAGCTCAATGGTCCTCCCAGAGCTGGAGAGATTATTGCACAGGGAAAAGATGCTGTGGTAAGTGTATTGTTCCCCGGAGAGGAAAAATGGATTAATATTCCGATAAACAAATGTTACAGGAGAGAAAATTAATGCTTGTCATTCTATCTGCAGTTTTGTATGTATCCCATAGGCGGGTGTCTGAGTGACGGTGGTTGACTGGGTCCCCTTCCCCTACAAAAGGATTGAACCCTTGTCGAGGCGATGGATGGGCTCCGCGGACCTGGTGGTGTCGGATGTTTGGTCATCGTCCTCCATGTCCTCGCTGTCATCGCACTGAGGGCACATTTCTGTTGGGGGCTCACGGAAGGACAAGTGTTGGAAGAAGGGGTCATGGGCCATCTGGAATTGGTTAGCAGTATGTCCAACCGCACTCAAGGCACATTCACATGCAGAGCAAATGACGCTTGCTACTTGGGAAACCTAACATCTACCGGTAAGATGTACCGGTGCAGAGGATGTCTTAAATTCCGAGGAAGGGTGATCAGCCCGGGGGTGTTGGTTCAAGGATCAACAGTAACCTTTAATTCTGCAGCGCGCATCTGTGCATACCATCAGGGGAATGGTACTTGCATACAAAATGGCACAAATTGGAGTATGAAGGTTGATCATGATTTCTGGATCAGGAATGGAACTGTAATCACAGGAGGACACGCCTATTTGTACATATTCTGGGTGCTGCCCGACACAGCTAGAGCTACGCAGACAGCTGTAGCTCCCCTGGTTCACACTTGTCAACAAATGGGACAAATAAGGGTAGCCGAATATGTGCGATGGACTGTGAAATTCCCTCCTATTCCGCCTTGCAACAGGAGGAGGCGAGCATGGTATGACACCGTGCTAGGAGGAACTGGAACTTTGTATGGTCTGGCTAACACAGCAGACAATGAGGTAACACGAACTATGCTGTCCAACACTGGAGAATACACCGCACAAGCTGTCACCAAGACTGCAAGATGGATGCCTTCGACTGTATCTAGTCAGTTAGAAGGAAGTGATGTGTGGAAAAGTGTATTTAAATGGAATCTAAAGCTTTGGAATGAAACTTATGATGCATTGCATAATTTGTCACACATAGGTAATTGGACAGTCTGTTCCTTGCAGACTATTCATGCTGAGACACAAAGAAATAGGTTTCAAATACAGGTAATGAGTAATAACTATCATGCATGGCGAACATTATGGAACATCAGTAGTTCATTATGGCTACAGCCACATGCAGAAATGACGATTTGTAATAAATCTATGTGTACTGGATACTGGGATCAGTATAATATGACATCAGTAATGACTGTGTGTAGATATCAGATACTGCCGGTGATAACCACTAAAGGGTTTTGGTATCTCCATGTTAGTGGAGAGTGGTGGGATGTTAAAACAAATCGAACATATGAAGTAAAACACTGTGATGAGACTGATAAGGGTTTAGCCTGCCCATTGGTAAAAGGACATAGCAATCCATGTTTCACTGATTCAAGGGTCGTACTCTGTGATTGGACGGTCACACCCCCAGAGGAACAGTTTTGGCAGGTGGGTCCTAACACCTTATGCGTGGCTACAATGACCAATTCCCCACAGGTACCTTCAGTTCCCTTTTCAGGTTGTCTCAAGGGTATACATATGTGGGAATGGAATAACGTGACCTATTGGTTGAGTAATTACACTGTATCTAGTCGGCTGACTAAGATACAATGGGAGGTTTTACACTCCCCTTGGACACTCTCACTGGAACGATTCAAATGCGCATTGGATGGTTCCACTGAAGTGGCAAAATTGATTGACTCTCATAGGTCCAACCTTTCCAGGCTCATGGTGTCTACTCTTGTGGCACAAGGGGAAATAAAACATGTTGCTACATTGATTGAACAGGCTTCCGCTCATCATTGGTGGGATATATTTACAGGCATGTCGAGTACCGCTAATAAAGTGCTAATTCCACCTATGATTGCAGCATTAATTATAATCAGCATTCTAACATTGTGTAATCTTATTTGGTATGTTATTCGATTAAGAAGAGAAATAAATTGGGTAATAATGCAAAGACTACGATGAAAATTAAAGTGGAACTACAAGGTATGTTATAAATGACGTTGGTTTTGATGGGGAAATGGTGATGGATATGTTACATAAATTAGATGAAAAGTTCAAGAGTGGAATGTAATAAAAATGAACTTGTCATCTGTTGTATAATTGCTTTATATAAGTTATTGATCACTACTGTTTGTCAATCACACTTATCATGAGGATGTAATCAAGGGTAATCATGGTAGAGCCGAACATAATGTGATCATGAGGATGTAATCAAGGTAATCATGGTAGAGGTGTGCAGCTTTGCACGCACATCAGGGAATGTATAAGGAGCAGAGCAGGGCTCAGGGGGGTTAGAGCTGCTTGGAGGATTCTACCTGACGAGGTTCATGGATTACATGTGTTCAGTTCTTCACCTATCATGGATTACGTTTTCTAACTGGGGTGTTCAGCTCTCCACCCATAAGCAACGGTAAGAAAAATGTTTCGTTCATGATTGATAACTTGTATGAATGCCGGTTGAATAAAGCCTTGTTGTTCATCTGATATTCAAGTTGTGTTTCATTGTTTCTGGCGTCGACTTGACAACGATCCTGACTAAATAAATATAAAGTGTAAAAAGAGACTTTGAGTCTTTTAAGGTAATTAAAATAAAATAAAACATTTTATTTTAGAACACCCATCTACATCATGAACCGGTTTTTATTCTTGGCTCAGTTAAAGCTTATTAATGTTGCATGTCTCTGACTTCCATAATATAGATGAGATCCAAAAATAGACACGTGCAGACGAGAGGCTTAACATTTTACCTTTGCCTGTGAAGCAAAGTCTCTTTGATCAGGATGAATCAAACAAAAGGCTTTTGTTGAAAGGATTTACTTTATATCGGTTCTGTGATGTGGAACAAAATGAATGAGTTGATTTTAACAATTTGGAGGCTGAGCCCTGGTGCTGACCTTTCCAGAGGACTGGATGCCTTTGATGACGGCCAGGCAGACCAGGATCCAGGCCACCAACAGGGACAGGGTCATCTTCCAGTTCAGGCCGCCGGTGTCATCAATGGTGCTGGTGATGTTAAGAGTCTCGCGGTACCAGAAGTAGGTTGTGGCTGAGCTTTTCTCACATTCTGGCTCTACAACTGCAACAGCAGCAGGAAAAATCACTCATAATCTTTCACAATCAGCTATCATTTAGGGTACGACTGACCACACATCAAATCTGACTTTAATTTCTATTTAAAGTTGATTTACTGGGTCAGAATTCTTGTTTCTCTCCACCAGGCTGCAGCTCCGTCAGCTGGCTCACACCAAATAACAAGCCTCTCAGCAGAGCTGACCCAGCCAAAGGGACAAATAAATCTCTGTTAGGAGCCTGCAGAGACGCTGCTGCCTGACCCACAGAGCCACAGAGAGGCAAGCTGCTAGAAAGCAGAAACATTCTGCAGCTTTAGATTGCCTGTGCGTCTGCATCTCATCACATTTTAGAGTTTTGAGTACTATACACATTTGCTTTGTGCAGTTTTTACCCTGCAAGTTCATTTAGTGTTTTACTCACTGGCTTGGGATCCATTTCTTGTGATGGGGCACTCAGCCCAAGGTAGAGGATACTGGAAAGACTGGAAGAAATAGAAGATGCTCCAGCCGATGATTACGTTATAATAGAGGCCGACAAAACCGCAAACCTGAGGAGAAATGAGACGAGGAAACATTTGCCATTAATCACACAAACACAGAGGACAGCACACACTGTATTGAGTCAGGGCTCAGGCACACGGCACACAACTTAAGACAGAGTGCATATGAATTATTGAGCTGTTTGCTCTCAGCAGCCAAGGCTGTCATCCTCAAAGAGGTGGTATTTATAGCCGCTAAAGCTCCCTCTGCCTCATCTGAGCTGCCACACGCCACACTGCCCCCGGCCAGGACGCTTTCATCCCCTGGTTTGCATTAGATTGATGAAATCAGAGTGAGGCTGAGAGAGACTGGTGCAGTGAGAGACTCAGCTGCTGACTGACTCGATGCTAATGAGATGGGAACATGATGGGTCACTACCTGGCTGATAATGGGACAGACGGCAGCAGCAATCAAGGCTATATATATATATATATATATACCTGTATATGATCAGACTTTCATGCCGAACATGTCACCCTTGTGCCATGTTGTAAAGTGTGTGTGATTGATGTTAATGACACTTACCATGAGGCTGGAGACCCCGATACCACCCAGCCGAGGGTAAACGTAGTTCCACACCCCGATGCTGCCCCGCCTGATCCTCTGGCCGACCGCCAGCTCAAGGAAAAACAGAGGAATGCCGATAAGAAGCAGGAGGATGAAGTAGGGCACCAGGTATGCTCCTGAAACAAAAGAGGGGAAGTTTAAATCCAAATGTTTGGATTTATTTTAAAGGGCCTGATAACTCTAAACTAGCAGCAAGACAGAGATTTTATGTTTAGAATCCAACCTACTTCCTCCACTTCCAAACTCTTATTTATTGCCCACAAATCTGATATTTGATTTTCACTTTTCTGTATTTAAAACTTTTATTTGTCACTTGGTCAGATGTGACCCGCTTTCTTCAACAGACGATGGGGAATGGGAGTGAACAGACGGCGGGCACTGACAGCAAGCCAGATCCAGGCCTGCGTACGTCAGGAAGTGAAGAGGCACCATGGTGACAGAAGCATCCAAACTAGAGATGATTGGTTGAGAGTGAAGAGCAGCCATAAGGAGAGACGCCAGCTTCCCGACTGGACACATATTACTCACACTGGTAACAATTCAGATTTTATCTTCAGCTGACAGAAGGAACAGCGTCACAGAACGTCTCTCATTGTCACGTTTGTGTTCAGAGCTGCAGCCACAAGAAGAGCTTCTGCCTGTTTTTGTGTTTGTTGTGGAGTTATTTTGTTATATTCTGACTTTTACTGTTGTTTATCCTGCTTTGAATTAAAATTTGCATCATAATTATATTATTGCAAAATAAATTGAAGCATCTTTACACTTCCTGGGACATTTTTTTTCACAGTTTACTTTAAAGAATGAAATTTTTTGGCAGAACCGGCTAAGAGTAAACCTATTTATGACAATTAACTTTAGAATATATGGTTCTCAATGACCATTTAATTAAAAACTGAAAGTAGAAAAGACAAGGGACGTTTTGTTGGCTGTCACACTCTAGACAAGCTTCCAGCAGCTGACACAAATGACATAATAAAACTAAGTTATGTGAGTAATTCGACTACTCGCCCCAAAAATATAAATGGCTATATTTCGTATCTAAAAGGAATCAAGTTACAGAATCTTCTATCTGATTTATAGATTGAAATAATCTATAAATCAGGGCTGTTTTCAGCTTAGATGTGTGAGCTAAATGATTGTCTGTGTAATAAAAGGTTATAAAAAGGAGAAAACAGCGACTTAAACACAAAAAAGACTAGAAAACAACCTGGTAGCAAATGTAATCGAGCTGAAGCTCCGCCTCTGACTAAATCAGCTGGTAGGAACAGAAAATAGCAGAAAATGAGCTAATGAAGAATTAGCTTTCTTTTTAAAAACATATTCATCCACACACCCCACCTTCTTCAGATCATAACTGCAATAAGATGCTGAAATCCAAAACACAGAACAAGAATGGACCTGAAGTAAATAAATTAACAGTCCAAAGTTGTTTTGACTTTTCGACAGTCTCCTAATCTGTTAATTCTTGTCCTGATCTAAAACAAACTCCCAGATGTTTGGTCAACTAGAGAATTTCAACAACCCAAACCTTCTTGGAGCAACTCGCTCTGCAGCACTGTAAACACATCCGGAGTCCAGTGGTTCCAAACCCGATGGGATGAGTTCAGAAATGTATTTTCTGAACTTTTCACTTCAGATCTGTAACAGCCCCTTTTTGTTCTGAGAGCTTCCTGTATAAATGGGGCTGCACAAACATCAAAATGGCCCAGAATTGATCCACTAATCACTGGTAATAAGTTGATAAAAGCAAATGAAATGCAAAGTTTTCTCACTGGTTAAACTGGTTCAGTCAGAAGGTGTAGATTTCCATTAGTGGGATTATGTACGAGGCTCTTTATGAAAGATTAGGTCAATCAGACTCGTAGGATCGCTACAACCTCAATAACAGAGAATCTGTCTGGTTGGTTTTAGTTTAACTCATTCACTATTTGTTTTTTGTATGAGTTAAATAAACTGGGGTCTTTAGGAAAGATGATAATAAGCATATAAATTAAGAGTTAGATGGTTAAATAATAGCATTTTAGCAAAAACATCTCTCAAATATTTGTAAATGATAAAAACATGATATTTTCCCCATTCAAGAAAATGTGAGCATCGGTGGTTCTCTGTATCTCTCAGCAGACCCTCGCGTTAGAGGCACTGTTTGCTCAGCCTTTCATCCCTTAACACTGACACTCCTGCTAGGTGTTTACTCCTGTCCGGTGTGTTTAACTTATTTTGCTGGGGGGGGGGGGGGGGGGGGGGGGTAACAAAAGGGGTGTTTTTATTTGTGGGTTTGATTTTTGTTATAACTATAACCTGCCTTCAGTTCCCAGAGACACACAAATCTTATCTGAATAAAGGGTTTTCAGCCGTAAATAAAAAATTAGACTTATTTGGTTCATCCTGTTAATGTCACATCTTGGGTAAACCAGGAAAAATATCCATCACGGTTTCCTCAGTCGGCGTCCACCTACCTCCACCGTTCTTCTGGCACAGGTAGGGAAACCTCCAGACGTTTCCCAGACCAACAGAGAAGCCCACCTGGGCCAGGATGTACTCCAGTTTGTTGTTCCATGCAGGCCGTCCATCCTCCAGGTCCTGCTCGGGGAGAAGGGACTTTCCTGGCAAAGTAGATCCAGGACTGAGACCCATACTCATCTGACTGCTTTTATAATCCATGGGGTGCTCCAGGGACAGGAGGTCCGCCACGGACTCGGTGACCGGCTCATTGCTGTGCTCCTGCTGAGTCACCTTGGTGTTCTTTGGCATGGCTGCTTACACACAAGAGCTCCTTCAGAGGATGAGGAGGGAGGTACAGCGGAGGCTGGGGAGGAGGCGAGGAGGAAACGTGTGCTTGTCTTTAATCTGTGAAGCAGGAATTCAAATGTAAATGTTACACCTGATCTTCTGCGTTTAGTTTCCTTTAAATAAACTCTGATGTAAATAAAGAAAACAGAAGAACTTTCTGACAAAAACTCTGAAAAATTCGAGACAAAAAACTAAACAGAACGTTCTTTAACATGCTGCTTGTTTTTATTAATGTTTGACTATTTTTAAGTCTTATAAGATACAAAAACACCAAATATTTCATTAGATTTGCCCTTATTTGTACTTTTTATTGAGTTAAAAAGAATCCATTAATCAAGATCTGATCATTTAAGGAAGTATCACACTCAACTGTTAAGGTGGACTGTAACTAAACAGCAGCCATGAGGTATTTCTGTAATCCAATGAAACTCCTATTGAATTACAACCCGTTTCACAGCAGAGCCTATTATGCTGGAGCGGAGTCACGTGAGCAGCATGCTGTAGGACGACGTCTCCAGAAATGGAATCAGCTGTTAGTGTCCTTTTCTCCCATCAGCCTCTTGTCCACAACTTATTTTAATCATCTGGATCGTTGTATCTCAGGAGGGCTAATGATGCTGTAATGATGTATTTCTGCTTTGAGATGAATATATCTGTTTCCTTCGTGTTTTCCGTCATGTGTTAACCCATAGCAGGAATACACACTCATGCACCATCCTCCAGGGTAAATGATGCAGATCAGGCAGCTGCATCAGGTTGTACTGTGCTGCAGACATGAGGATTTTACATTCATTAACCGATTAAATCAGTAATCCACTGATTTAGCTTTGTACTCTTTAGGTAAACAATCATAACCACATCTCTTTTATAAGCCAGGCTTCTAAATGTAACACACATCAATAGCTGGATGTGGAAAATGCAGCAGGAAGCAGAAAGGATGATTGAATTTTTACACTTTTAAATGAGTATGACACTTGGAAAAGGAACAGAAAAACTCAAATCAACTAATTAGTAAAGCTCCACAAACTCTACAAACATTTGCTAAGTCAAATTCATTGGTCATTGTTTACCAATACAGTTATTTATAATTATAATTATTATAGCCTAACATGCATGATTTTGGTCTGTGGGTGTAAACAGCACCCAGAGAAATGTCACTGATGCACAGGGAGAAAATTCTGTCTTAAGGAGCTGAAATTGAACCAACTCCACCTGCAGCTTACACTGAAACCCAGTTCTGTCAACGTACAATGGCATTTATGTCAGCTTTCAGATGGGCGATGCTGGATTGTGAAGACAATCTGCCAAAGCAGAGGGGTTAAAATAGAAAAACTACAGGTCGTCTTCAGCTGTTTGTGAAGACGTTTCACTTTTCATCCATGGAGCGTTCACATTTCAAAATGAAAAGTGTGACCTTCCAAATAAAAAACATTTTTCAACAATCAAACATTGTAAACTGGTTACAACTTGTTCCTTACAAAACAGCAAAATTACACAAACTAATCGGTGGTTCACTGGTTGACTCACGACGGAGAAGGCTGTTGTTAGTTTAGCGTTCAGGAGTCAACAGAGAACGTCTCAGCTAGTAGAAGCTAACCATTGGCATTAGCAACTCCACCACACAGCAGAACTCCTTCAGGCTTGTGTTATTTGTGGAGATAAAACATCAACTTTGCAGAGCAAACTGAGTCAGCGATAGAGCCGTGTTGCTGTTATCCAATCAGAGATGAGTTGTCCAAATGTCAGGAAATGAGACTCCAAAACCGTCTAAAGCTACTTTCTCCTCCAGCGGACTTGTCGTCCCCCCCCCCCCATTTGTGGTCGTCTATCCTGACCAACCCTGCGACAGCTTTTTGAACCATCTCACGAGCCAAATCAGCCTCCGACAGTCTACAAGCATGCTTGAACACCTACGATTCCTGTCTGCAACCGACCAGAGAAAACACACCTTTGGGACGCCGCAGCAGCAAGACTCCGCCTCTCTGAGGTTCAGTTTCAATTTATGTATAAAATGCGGATTATATACTACACACCAGTTTTTACTTCTGTTAGTAGGGCAAGTTAAACCGGAGTTATACTAAAATACTTAAACTACCTTTTTAGACCATCAGATAAAATATGATTATTTGATCTGTGAGAGCTGAGAGGAGATGAGCTCACGGACATAAAAAATAAACACAAAAATAAGAGATCCCTTTGCTGTTTGTGGAAATTTCACATATTCGTCCGATAAGGATGGTTCAGTAGCGTTTTGCTGCAGAGGGACAGAGGAAGCTGCGCTCCGCGACAGAGGGTGTGAGCTGTCACACGGAGCGGAGCTGCGGAGCAGTGAGACAGAATTCACAGCAAAAGTTTAGATATTGCAGTGATCTGCGACAGATTGTTACTTCGCTATAGTTTAGTGGGTTCTTGTGTATAAAGGAGGATGAGAAGGATGAATGACCAGCAGACAGATCACTGTTTAGTTGGAAGACAGGAAAAGGAGACCCCGCAGCCAGAGTCTGACGCCAAAGCGAGGGATTTAAAACCGAAGCTTCCTCCATGAGGAAGATGAGGTGGGTCATGAACTGACACCAAAAGAAGTGTTTTTATCTTTTCATCTTTGTTTTGGTTAGTGGTCTGCTTAGTGACGTATGCTTCGGGAGGTGCGCTCATGACGTAGCGTGTCCTGCTGGAGAGAGACGTTGTGCAGTCTGCCTCACAGAAATCTTGCGCCGTACAGTGGGACACCTTTCTGGAGTTCTCACAGTGAGACATGAACAATCCTGTGCAACGACCAAAAATCGCACAGTGTGATCCGGGCTTTAAGGCACTAGAGACCAATGCAAATGTATCGATTGAATGAGTGAACCACACCTTTAATGTCCACACTAAGAAATAAACAAAAACAGGTAGCTGTTTTTTTAAAGAATGTTAAATCAATTCATGGGAAATTTTTAAACACGTAAGCACATAATAAGCATGATCTTATCATAAAAACTGTTCATCCACATCAACAGCCTGCTGGAGTAAAATGCTAGTGGGGGCCACGCTGAGGGCCTCAAAAGGCACCAGGGCCGCACTTTGCACAAGTCTGAATACAGCGTAACTTTTATTCACTTTCATTTATGTTTTTTTTTATTTTGTGCTTATTTGAATAAGGTATAGTTACTCAGATTTGATTGTGATTCCTCTGCAGATTAAAAAGTTAATATTTGTTTACAAATTTCTGAATGCGCTGTTATATTTTTCCTTTAGTGTGAGTTTTTACCTTGGAAACTCTTTACTTCTGCTTTCAGTAACTTGCAAAGTGACACAAAACAAAAAACAAAAAGATGCAAAAAAGCTGAGAATGTATTGCAACAACATTTTGCATGATCCACCTCTATAGCTCTGAGCTTTAAAATGAAAAAAAAACTATAGTTTGAACTTTACATGAAAACACTGTCAGAAAGTTGGCATTTCCTGCATAAACCAATTAATTAAAGGTCACCAGAACAAAACTTGGCACAGATGACTTATGGTCAATGCCAAAAGAGCAGCTACAGAAGTGTGAGACGGGACTTTGAAAACAGGAACCGTGCTGGGTTGTGTGGGACGAGCGTCTCTGCTCTAAGGCAGAGACTAAAGTGTGAGGTTTCTGATTTGAAGACAAGACCTTTAGTTGCAAAGAAAAAAATCCAGATGACTGATATCAGAGCTGAACTTGTGTTAACCTCTTAAGAAGGTTTGCATGCTGTCTGGCCCAAAAGTCCTTCAAAAGGCTTAACAAGCTGCACGCACATCTACATTCCTCCACAGTCACGACACAACAGCCTACAACTGCAGGCTCACCCTCAAACACGCAGCAAACAAGGTGCAATAGATGTGAATGAACGTTTTAATCATTTTAATTAAATTGTAATATTCTTCCAGAAACAAAATCTTTTCAACTAAAAGTGCAAAAGTTCTCAGATGCATTACATTAATGCTGCAGAAATGCAAACCACACTGCAGAGAGCCCAAGTGTGTAGATCTCTGTGACTGTTATTGTGGAGGGTCTGAGGGCGTGTACATGCTGCCTCCCACAAGGCAGATGTGTGATCATGCACCTAAATCACAAACTTTCTGCAGACACTCTGGAGTTGATGACGCAACAGCTCAGGTTCTTCATAAAGCTTTGCTCTACTTCTATCCGGTGTGGTTGCTAAGCAATAGGCTCTTTCTGAAACATGGCAGCACTGGTGGCGGCCTGGATCTCCCCCCATTTTCACAAATGTACATAAATAACATCCCCCGTGAAGGATGGATTTAAAAAACAGCTGTGGCAGAAGTGGAAGCTGAAACTGATGGTTTGTCACTGTGGCAACATGTCTTATCTGGAGATTTTAGATCTGAGACATTTCCAGACAGAAAATGGAGTCAGTGTAAAATCTGGAAGGAGCTGGATGTTGTTTAGCTCTGATCCACAATGTGAGGACAGGAGTAATCTGCACCTGATGGCCAACCAGTCAGACCACATGCCCCAGACAACCTCTGACGCCTGTCAAGGTCAAAGCATTCTCCTAACAACTGCACATTTGGTGCAAAGTGTGAAAAGGAAGTAATCTGTGATGATATGAGCGCGCCTCACGCGACCTCAAAAACGGAGGATTAATGAGCAACGCTCGAGCTGCGGCGACGTCGTTTCAGAGCATCTATCGCTCCTCCATCAAGTGACCACAAGCTCATTTTTCATCATCAACACAGCGGCGCTGCGCGTCACGACTCAAACACCGTAAATCGAATCCGTTCAAACGACAAAACATTTGGCAAAACGAGGGTTAATTCTTACCTTTTAATAACCAGAGAGCAGGATGGCTTTGAGACTCAGTGTGGCGGTTTAAATCCTGCATGCATGTTCATTCAGTCTCAGCATGCAGCATCTCTGGATGTGAAATCACGGAGAGCTTCCAGTCACACAGGGCGCACGGTGGTGCGTAAAGTCTGACGCAGGAGCTCAGCGCATGGCACAAGTTAGAGGGCTAAAATCTCTCCAACTCGCGGCGATTAAAAGAAACGCGCCATCGTTTGTGTGATGGGTGTTTGCAGAGAAGACCTGCTGGAACAGCTGGTTTCCACGTGGTGACGGTCGTGCTGTGGTGACTTGAGGACGTTACTATGGCAAGTCACGACGAAGGCTGACGCAGGTTTGACTCATTCGCCCGTGCGCACGTCAGCAGCTGATCCATCACCAAAGATAAATAAATAAAAATAAACAAACACACACACAAAAAAAAACATCTGCAGTGTTCATGTGTTAGAGCGCTGCTCGCAGGTAGCCCTCCAAGTGCTCTCAGCGCTTTAGATTTGGAGATAATAAAATGTTGTTCACTAAAAACTCACCAGTGCGCACTAAAATAAATTGGAATAAAACGTGGCAAAGTAATTTTCTTTCTGACACTAAATTTGTGGATTTTCACATTAGAATCAAAATCTTGTGGTTTTGATCTGAATTGTTGGCTGCCTGCGCATTCATACTTCCAATAACAAAGATTGCCCAATCAAATAAAGTTGGGGTAATAGCGTGCCATTGTGTGAGATTCATTCCGTCGGATCCCCAGTGTTCTTGCAGGTTGATGAGTGAAAGTCTCACATTTTATTAAAGGAACACAGAGAGTGGATATTTACCTCGCTTTTATTTTATTGGGCTATTTATATGTTCTGTATGTTTATTGCTTTTAACCACAGCACTGTTTTCGTTTCAACAGTATGATTTAATAGCATTCTAATATCCAAACTCAAATATGGGGAAAAAAACTAACTCCAATTTTTTTTATTATGAGAAGCTAAATGTGGCCAAGTGTAGCTTTTAATGAAGTGTAGTTTATAATCAGCACCTCATATTCGCTGCAGCAGTCTGATTAAAATACATCCTGATTTTTAAATGTAATTATTCTAAGGAGTGTCTAAATGCTGCTCCTGTAAATTTCATTTCACTCAACATTCCCAGGATCTGCTGCAGGATCTGCTAGCTCACAGAATATCTCTGTATGTGTTAGTAGACAAATCCACCCACCCACCCACACACACACACACACACACACACACACACACACACACACACACACACACACACACACACACACACACACACACACACACACACACACACACACACACACACACACACACACACACACCACTGCTATACATGCATGAACAGTATGCTTCCTGTCTCCTTCAATTCAGTCATGTGACTCACTTTCCAAGAGCTGGCTACTGGGATCCGTTGCCATAGCAACCACTGATCATATGATGGTTACTCAAACTGTGAGCATTTTTCTGTCTCTTCTCGTTATTTGTTCAGCCTCCCCTCTCCATCTCTTGAGTACCTACACCACCGTTCTCATCTGCAGCTGTGAACAAGCCTCCACACGGTTCCATCTAGCTGAGCTTATCACGTTGCTGGTGTTCCTCCTGTGGTTCTGGCACGTGCCTCTTTATTACACCTTTGAATTATGCAGCAGAAAACCTGAAGTCCACCTCCTCGTGTTGTAAATGCTGATGGATTACTAAAGAATAACCACACAGTTTACTTGCACATTTCTCAAGGCAGAAAATTTTTGTTGACTTTCCATCATCAAACCCTTTCATCTTCAGCCTTGGAGATGTTTTATAGTTACCTGTCTGCACCTCATTGAGTGCAGATAAGAGAGCAGCAGCAAGGTCTTCAGACGTGTCTTTAATAGTTTAAGTGAAGCGAGGATGAGGGCTAATGAGCCGGCAGACTGGGCTGTGATTTATTGGTCCTGTCTAGACCATAGAGAAGCTTCGTTCAATGGAAGTGGACAACTCTAAACAAAGATAAGTCTGAACCATACGGTAGTCAAGTTGTGTTTGACCTTTCAAATCCACCTTTTAGCTGAGCCAGGGTAAGATACAATCATCCAGCTCAGAAAGATGGAATACTGTGCTTCAAATAAACACAAATTTCTGATATTGTTGGATCTTGCTCTGGATGTCTGTGGAGCACCAGCTCTTAGCTCCAGTCTCAGGAGAGCCAGGTTGCCAGGTCACAAATGAAACGTGCTGACGAAAATCGACGGGTAAAATGTGATTGGTGCCCCAGGGGTGTTTCTGTGCAGCTGCACCTCCTCAGCTCTCACCATTCCTTTTACTCTCTCTGCTCCCCCTTTTGCCAGCTGCTAGTGGTGCATTCCCACCTCCGTCAGCACGATGACACCTTGCCTGCTCCCCTCTGGGTGTGTGAGTGCAGTCATCAGGATAAAAAAAAGACATTGGGCAAATAAGGAGTGGTGCATTTTCATTACTTGCCTTAAAAATTTGCTGTAATAATGTGGTGCTGATGCTGAATCTGGTGTAGCTCTAACAGAAGCTTAAACCTTAAGAATCAGCCTTTTTAAATCAATCATCTGTGTAAGAAGAGAAAGCTTATTTATACCCCCCCTCCTTTCTTTTACTGTTTGCCTTTCATCGCCCATCCCTGCTTTTCTGCTGACAATAGACTCATTAGCAGTCTGCTTCACCTGCACTGCTCTTCCTGCAGATAAAGGAATAAACACAGATGTCACGACCACCAGAGAACAAGCAAGAGAATTAACACCTCTGATAAATGTAAGGTGGGAAAAAAAATCAATGTTTGACCAAATAAAACCAACAGGATCCTTTGCTCTTATTGGGAAGTTTACAGAGTTTTCAAAAACAGCATTAAAGGTGTGTTTTTCAGAACTTACACTCTCATCTTCTAAACAGTTTTTTCATCATTAGGGTCACAGGTGAGCGTGGGGTCTAACTCCAGAAGTCGTAAACACACACACATGCACGCACACGTGCACACACACAAGGGCAGATCTATCTTTCATGCTGGAAATTCCCATTTAGCTCATTAGCACCTCTAATGTTTGGACTTGGAATTTCATTCACCCGTAATCTGATCATCAGGCAAAGAATGATGAGTGACAGGGCAATGGCACTTTAGAGGGCCAATCAGTTTTCCACAGGGTCCAATGTCCCTGTAGCCCCACCCCTAGAAAAACCAATGACACAAGGACGATCTTAGAGTTGCTAATTAACCTGATGGTGCGTACGATTTACGTCGGAAGTCCAAATTTGGAACTGGGAGTGACGTCACACTCGAGTCAATGCATTCTGGTTACATTTGTCGGTGAAGCTGGGATCCCAGTATGGCAACGCCCTTGAAAAATGTTGTTTTGTCAGCTCTGTACAAAAACAGATGACTACTAAACACATATGCTGCTCATCTGCAGCCTAGAGTTGCAAAGATTACAGGTATTATTTATTTAAAGCAAACTCTTATTAATTGTAATTGTGTCTTGTACAATGAATTTCAACCAAAACTTACTGTTGTAGACATGTAGAGCTGCCATATTAGACGCTGAGGTCAGGGTTCTAACTTTTTACAACTGACTTTGGTTCATATACTGGAAAGTTGGGATTTCTGAGTTACAGGGACAAATCTAATGCGCCACGGCATTCCCGTTAGAAGGAAACCGGAAAAAACACGTAGGGAGAACACAGAAAGACCACAGCCAGGATTTGAACATGCAACTACGTTTTTATAACTGCACCACCATGCAGCCCTAATTATTGACACATTTGAACAATTATTGAATGCTTTATTTATTTGTTGAATAATTGCATCAGTTTTGGTCCTCCACCATTTAGTCCCAGTGATGTGATACACAGTGGCCCGTGAAAAGTCCAGCTCAGATTGTTTAACCAGTGCTTCTCCACTGCCTCACACTGACTAATCTGTAGTGGCGGGTGCAAAGAGGACACATTCAGCGCTGCAGGACACATGAGTCCTTGTGTTTATCCTGTAAAGACATAAAGACTGTAGGTGAAATATTTACACCCTGAATTTGGTGAACCTGTCTACTGCATTCTAGTCAAGAGCTTCACCCATGTGTGTGTGTGTGTGTGTGTGTGTGTGTGTGTGTGTGTGTGTGTGTGTGTGTGTGTGTCCTAGTATCTCCTTATTTCTCGTTAGTCAGCTTCAAACACACCAGCTGTTACGGTGCAGTCAGGAGCTGAAAAATGCATCTATTGGTATTCTGTAAACGGAGAGGTCCACCCTAATTAAATCACGTTTTAGTAGCAAAGTGACATTTTTAGTACCTTCCAGAATGAGCCGTCTCAGGGCTTAGCCAAGCTGGGGCTGGCCACACTCACCCCTCACCTGATTGGCTGGTCTAAGCTAATACGCTTTGATATTTGGGAGGGGCTCGGAGTAGAGCCACTGTTCTTCCAGCAGCAGCTGTTTTACTCTCAATGAGAGGCAGTCCTATGTACATTTTCCCACTTGTGACATCACAAACAGGAACTTATTGAAATGGCTCATTTTAGACTCAATTCCTAAAGCAAAACAACCACAGAGAACGGATAGGCATTTTTTTTCAAGTCTGGAGTGTTTATAGAGGCAGTAGAGACCCAAATGGCAGCACAAAAGGATTCAAATAGCAAGTTTTACATAATATGTCTCCTTCAACAAAACTCTCGGATAGAAATCAGTGGACGATTTTTGTAAGCTCTAATCAGTCTTAGCAAAAAATAGCTCATGGCTCAACTATTATGCACATACAGTATATTATCTATTATTACATATAAACAAAAGGTTTATATTTCAGTCAATTTGAAAGATGTTGGACATCACTCATATTCTCTCTGAATGCTAACAGAGTGAAATCTTGCAATATTGAGTGGGATTGCACACATGATTATTTTTTAATTAAAACAACTATACCACCATGATTTGTCATTATGAGATGATCTATTTTTAAATGCTGGCACAATTTGAAGGAATTCTATTAATTATTAAAAAAATAAGATACATGCATGACCCGAGGATCTGGTAAAATTACCCACAAGTTCTAAACCCTCACAGCTCTTGTTACGTCCCCTCCTGAACGTCCAGGAGGATGAGGGGACTAACACAGAAAAATAGGTGGAGGTGTGTGTGAGAGGATAAATAACGAGGTGGTGAGAGTAAAAACAAAAGGGTTTATTAACAAAGGGTGTCCGTTTCTAACAGCAAAATAAGGCTTACAACAACGGTGATGAAAAGGTGCAAACTGAAAACGTAAGCGATTAACTGATTACAAAAAAAAAAAAAAAACGGCTTTTTGCTGAACTAAATAAAAACCACCT